ATTATATATACACAATTTTTTATCTCTACCGCTTGACTTATCTAAARTATTTCTTGAGTTTCGCTTACACATGTCAAATGTAACTAAATTTTGTTCGTGTTTTGTTGTTCGTTTTTCATAAATAAGCACATAATTCCAATATTTTCCTATAGATAAGATAAATGTAGACAATTCCGGTTAGGTGTCCAAATAAAAAGAAGACTTTTAAGTTCAGTACTTTGTTTGCCAGCTAAGCGGAACACAGACCAAATCAAAGACATATTATAAATATTTATTGTTAATCTGTGCAATTAAAAGGTCTCGCTACGAGAATGGTTCTTGGCTGTGAAATTGACTTTAAAGACAATCCGTTTGGCATCTACTATGCGGGTCAAGTGATTTCGGGCAGTGTATCATTGAATGCCGATAAAGAAAAGCTAGTCAAGTGTAAGTTTGTAAAATTGTATAACAATAAATCATAAAATATTTCTAAAAGAAAACGTGATACAATTAAAAACAGTCGGGTGATACTGACTGCCGAATACCCATTCAGGGTCCCTGTTGTCTATCCAGCAAACGGACATTGCACAAAACCAATGTACTTATTCATATTCGTGACGGTGTACGAAAATGATTCATGCTTATTTCTTGCTATATGTTAATATATGTACTTTTGTTATCTGAATCTCAGTTTTATGATATATATTATTTTTTTTATATGTATGTATAAAATGTAATTAAGTATTTTTATAAATTTTTAAAAGCAATAGTTAGTTGATACAGAAATATAGTCATATTTAATAGAAACCAATTTTAATTTGTATTTTATTTATTTTTGTGTCTAAACATTTTCAGCTATAATTCTAAAGATAAGAGGCTTTGCCATGACATATTGGACAGAAGATGAAACCGATGTGGAAAATAAGGGCACAGAAGAAAGTTATAGTGGACACGAGGACTATATTCATTCGAAGGTGGATCTTTTGGTGGCTGAGGGAACAGGTGAGTCTCTCTAACTTTCTGTATAAATGTATATATTCTATATAAATTCTGGTATACATTTCGTTAACAGATGTTGCTCTTAAGCCTGGCGCCCATGTCTATCATTTTGTCTGCCAAATACCCGCTGTATGCCCCTCGTCCTTTGAGGGCACTCACGGTCGTGTGCGCTATACAGTTACTGTCAAGGTCATTAGGCCCTGGAAGTTCGATCTGACCTACTCGCGTCCGTTTACCGTGCTGAAAGTTATGGATCTTAACAGGGAAGGTCTTTTCCTTAATGTAAGTTTAATACGTATCAATAAGTATTTATGAACAAATCAGATATAAGGATGAGGAGAAGAAAGTAAGCAATACTGAGTTGGGTTGGAAAATAGAAAGAAGGAGAAATACTGAAAGATTTACAAATCTGTCTTAAAACTTTTCGCCTGCTTATAATTATATTGTAATATTTTTATATAATTATTAAACTTTTTAAGCTATATACAGTAAATTACGGTTATAACGATGCTCAAGACGTTATAATATCGTACGGACGTTATAATATCGTACGGACGTTATAATATCACCGGATTCCACTGTTTTTATATAAAATATTCAACTCAGTAAACTATTTCTTAAACTATGGGCTACATTTCATATTTTGCTTAGACACCTGCCCAGTCGGAGGATCAGAAGACCTATAACTGCTGGCCCTGCCGCTCGCAGCCGTTGCGGCTGCAATTGTCGCTGCCGCAGCGCGGCTTCGTGCCTGGCCAGACTATACCTGTGGCCGTGTTGATCACGAACGACAGTCACATAGGCGTGGAGCAGATCGAGGCCAGTTTGGTGATGATGGTGCTCTACTACAGCCAGCACAGTGTGGATACGATCAGCGAGCGATTCGTGGTCAGCAAGAAGCAGGGCGAGGGCGTCACCAGAAACAGCAAGAAGCAGTACGTCTTTGAGCTGCCCGTGCCTGCAACGCCGCCCACCTGCTTCGACTTGTGTCGCATCATACAGATTGCCTATCAGGTGGTAGTCGAGACAAAGGTCAAGGGCTGGCACATCAACGAGCGCGTGCACCTGCCCGTGACCATTGGCAATGTGCCATTGAACAAGCAACTGACCCAACAGCCTCGCTCTATCCCAGTGGAAGTGGAAGTTGTCGCCCAGCAGCTGGACGAGAAGGCGCTGGTGCTGGTGGATGATGCGGCAGCTGCTGCAATGCCAGCCCCTGTCAATCCCTGGGCAGCCGATGCTACTATAGGTGGGTGAATAGAGAACCAAAAATATTCTATATACCTCAAATGTCTTGCTCATTTTACAGGTCCGCCCAGCTACGCAGAGGCGGTGCACATACGCGCTGGACCCATTAAGTCCACTGTTAAGCCCCCAGCCAATCGATCGAGAAAGAGCCAAGAGTTCAGTCCCTCGACAACGCAGACCAAAGAAAACTGCGCCTTTACCCCGCTCTATGCTGTATTCCACATAAACAGCGAGACTGCCAAACTGCAAGACATCGATCGCAGCACCTGGATCTGAGTATGTTAGAACTGTTTAGTCGACAACTATTTGAATGGTAAATAAAAACAAAATTGTATAAGAGAAACAGTGTACGAGACCTTGGTTTAGATTTTAGTTTTAAGGAAAATACATTTTTGTTTATCAAACAGTTTTGTCTGGGTTTGTTTTCGTGTAATTACCGAAGCAATGCACACCTCGACTAGGGTTCTATACAGTTCCACGCACGAGTCCGCAATGTTTATTTCACATATCACATAGCCCATATATATACCATATATGCCTATTTATAGCTGTGTAATACCATAACATACCATCCCATATTGAATATCATAACTTTTAAATTTTAAAAGTTTTTTTTTTATACCCTTAACCCATTGAAAATGGGAAATCAGGGTATAATGGTTTTGTCAAATGTATGTAACAGGCAGAAGGAGGCGTGGCTGAACCCACAAAGTATATATATTCTTGATCAGGGTGACGAGCTGAGTCGATTTAGCTCTGTCCGTCTGTCCGCGTCGATCTCAGCAGATATAAGAGACTTAAAATTTTTTCCTAGATCCGTGTATACCATGTCGAGTTTTGCTTCGTTATTTTGTTATCGATTAAAAACATTATCGAAAATCAGTAAAAAATGTATATCTTTTTCATCTTTAAAGCTGGAGTCGCCAAATTTTTAGTGTAGATTTTAATTTTTGCCAAAATTTACCCCCACCCCTAATTCGCCCCCTCACCCATACCTCTGTAAAAGGTGTATTTCAAATACTAGGGACTTGTGCTTTGGCAAATGCATGCATATTATGTTATATTCATAATCTGAAGGTTTCATGACGAAAGTACATCCGCAAGAAAAGTTATTAAGTAATTAAGTTCCCATAATAAGCCACTACTGCAGCCAATGGATGTGTGTGAACGTGTGTGTGTGCATGTGCGAATAATTATTGAAATATCAGTTGCGCGAAGAGTTCAGGGGATCTCGTAGTCGAGCAGTCTCGACTGGAGCTTTCTTACTTGTTAGTATATACAAATTAAAATGTAGATAAATAAATATAAAATTTCAAATTGTAAGTTAATAAGAAAGTAAAATAATGGCAGTTGGGTTTTGCCGACTGTACAATACTCATTCACACTGCCTACGCTGCCAGATCTCTAGTGATTGGGAGAGAAAATTGAGAAAATTTTGGCACATTATAAATGGAGGGTATGTATAGGTATGTATCTCAATTCCAAATTTGTAATATCGAGCTTCAATAGTTGCGAAATAGGAATAGGCGGATGAACAGTAAAATGAACATTGTACAAAACCAATATACTCTGTTGACATTCGTGATTGAGTATAAAAAATAAGCTTTGTTTAGCACTGGAAAAAAGGTAAGTTCACATTCTATACTCTATATTCTAAAGGACGCACGAACTCTTTAAATATGTACATACATGTGGAATATACATACATACATATATTATATCAAAATTTTAATTATCTGCTCATACGTCGCACGTTTTAAAAGATAGTGCCTTTTTTATTTTATTTGTCGATTAATCTGAAGTACATACAAAAAATAATATTTCCGAATGAACAGCTTGGTAGTTTTTAAGAACAGCTGCTCAACATATAAACTAGAGAGCTACAAGCTATCCTTGTAAACATAGGATATAATATAAATATATATAAAAATATTAAATTTAATAGCTATACTTTCTTTATTTTTTTATTTTTTTTTAGAAATTTTTTTATTTATTTTTTTATTTATTTTTTCGATTGCATTGTTTATTCAATTATATATAATATGCTCTTTAATTTAGGCCGAAATCAAAATCTTTTTTTTAGTGTGGTGTGCAGTGCACTTCGGCAGAATATTTAATTTACAACTGACACGRCGATAAGATAAAAATTGTGGAGGGAAAAAAAAAAATCTATTTATATGTATTTAAAAAAAAAAAAAGCTGCAAAAGTTTGTTCCACTCTCAGTTCGTTTCAAACGCGACGCGCGGAATGTTTGGCATTTGCCAAACTTGTTGCCGTTATGTGAGAAAAAAATAGCGAACCGCTTGGGCTTTAATTACAATCCAATCAGTCGTGTTTTGGACTCCGATAGCGACAAGTGCGAAGAGCAGCGAGTCGGTGGCGTAGAAATACTTACAATTACATTTACAGTTATCGGCCCGATAACATTGGGACTATACATATATAATGGGCATTACCTGTATAATCAACTTCGACAACAATCCCCATGGCACCTACTTTGCGGGTCAAGTGGTGTCGGGCCAAATTACCCTCAAACTAGACAAAATCAAACTGGTTAAAGGTAAATATAGAAATTCCGACTAAATATAAACTCGTGCAAAATTGTATTTACTTTTTTTCACCTTTAAATCTGCCATCAAGCGTGTTCTTCCCCATGACTCATTCTTATCTTATCGGCAGCTACATGTATAAGAGTTGTTAAATGTGCAAATTTCGGCATGTTAGACCCAGGCAATAGAAAATGATTCATGTGAATTCTTTCTCTTACATGGCACGCGCTAAATTCGGTAGCTGATGGCATCAATCAGCGGTCAGTTATCATTATCAAAATAATCATACAAAAACACCCTTTTGAATATAAGCAAAGACTTAATTAGTTATCAGTCTATGCTATTTTAAGGTTTGATTTCATAAACTTGCAATATACAGTTTATTGAGGAGTCTCAAGCTTGGGAAATTTTCAATGTAGTCAAATTAATCTTTTAAAATACATGTTTTTATACCTTGAGCCCATTGGTAGATCATTATATATGAAAGATTTCATTTTATATTTACATACATTTGCTATTACATTAAAGATTTATGGATATAATAGTTTTTAAAAATACATATAACACGCTTTTATATATTAAAGATTTATTTTCATTTTTACCTTCTTCTTCTACTGCATTCCATGGCAAACAGTTCATCAAAATTTCGAAACGAATTTATAAACAAATGCAACTTTACATTTGAACAAACCCAAACAATTTGTATACTCAAAATTTGTTCGTCTTGCATTTTGCGAATCATTGTTGTGATATATATGTATATATACCTCTATTTACATTAGAGTATATAAAGAATCTGTATACATAGGAAAATAATTATAAATGGTAATATTGATGCAATTATTAAGTATATATTCAGCTTGTTGTTGACTTTGTCGATCTGACGTCATGTGCGATGCAATGCAAAAAGTAAATATACAATATTTGGAGAGGGAGAAAAGCTTCTTCTTCTCTTATTCGCTGCTGCCAATTAAATATAAATAAATTCAATAAACTTATATGAGATTCATCTTGCCGGCCGGCTGCACTGAAATTCAGCGGGCAATAGTCGGCTGGCTTATCCCATTTGATTTATTTTGTGGGCGGATTAAAATAATTAATTTATATACCCACCTATTGAAGGTATCATGCAAATGGAGCATGTGGAAATTCCACATTGTAGATACCAAATTAGGTATATACTCAGTGTATTGTAAAATATATTAATATATTTTGATACAAATTACATATGCTTTATTATTATAATTTGTATATTTTATCTTATAAAAAAATCCCTTTTCTTATATTTCAGCTCTAACCCTAACCATAAGTGGGTTTGCTGAGACAGAATGGACAGAATCGACTGGCACTGGCAAGGACGAAACCACCGATACGTATCGCGGCCGGGAGGACTATATAGCTTCCCAAACGTATCTGGCGGGCTCCAGTCAAAGCAGTTAGTAAATCGCCTAGTTTTATTATGTTCATTCATTATAACTTCTTGCATTATCGCAATAGCACAAGTCTCAATTGAGCCGGGAGTGCATGTCTACAACTTTAGCTGCCAAATTCCGCCCACATGCCCCTCCTCCATCGAGGGACTCTACGGTCGAGTGCGCTACATGATTAAGGTGGCAATGGTCAAGCCCTGGAAATTTGATCAGTCTTACACACGCTGCTTTACGGTGCTCAAGATCATGGACCTCAACTACGACAGTCCACTGCTACGAGTGAGTTGCTAGACTCTACAACAAGTGAATATATCATTAATCACATATCATCTTCAGATGCCCACCCAAATGGAAACACAGAAGGTGTATTGCTGCTGGCCCTGCACTTCGGCACCGATGCAGCTGCAGATGACTCTGCCGCAGACGGGCTACGTCTCTGGTCAGATCATACCTGTGGGCATGCTGGTGACCAACGACAGCCACATAGCCGTGGAGGCACTGCAGGTAAACCTCGCTATGATGGTCACCTACCACGCGACGCACATGTCCCGGACGCACTCCCGCAACGAGCGCCTACTCGTGACCAAGCTGATGGGCGATCCCGTGCCGCATCACTGCAAGAAGCAGTTCACCTATTACCTGCGTGTGCCCGCCACGGCGCCCACGTGCTTCAATCTCTGCAAGATCATCCAGATCGCCTACCAGGTGGAGGTGGAGGCGCGCGTCAAGGGCTGCCATCGCAACCAGGCCATCAGCATACCCATCACCCTGGGCAGTGTGCCGCTGCTAGAGCATCCACCCATGCAACCACAGCCACGTGATCTGGATGGACTGCCACCACAAGAACTGGATGCCAAAGCTTTGGGGCACTCGGCAGTTGTGCCACAGGCCAGTGCACCACCTGCTGAATTCAATGCGCCGTGGGCTATCGATGGCAGCATTCGTAAGTTGTCCTCTTTTTTATTTAGCTAACTCTCTTTAATTGTATTCGAACCCTTAGCACCGCCCAACTACGAGGAAGCTATTCATATGCGCACTCAGCCGGATGGCGCCAACAATATACAGGCAACCGCACCACCGAACACCTTGAGCCTGGATGAGCACGGTTTCGCGCCACTCTATCCAATATTTAACATACCAAGCCCCACAGGTCCCTCGGATCCCAAAGGACCTCCAAATACTGACGTGAATGCCAACAAAGGCACTTGGCTGTGAGCAGAGCAGAGTATAAAAGACAAACTATACAGACTAATATTATTATTATTTGAAATAACTGTAATTTCTGCTTAATCTAGTCTGTATTCACGTAAAACACGCTTCATGCGTGCTAATAAAATTATATTATAACTTAGTATTAACAGCATAATTAAAAGCATTAAAATATTTATATGGGCTGGAAAATCACTTGAAATGAGATAAGAATATTTATAATGTTAAAGTGAAAGAAATAAATGCATGTTAAATTCAAAGCTAAAATATCTAATCTCTTATAACTTATTAGTGAATAGCTGAAGGTCTTTGTTGCCACTGCTTTAATCTATAGATTAGTTTTAATTTTATATTATCTCTAAAAAATAAATA